TAAGTAGCTTGACTGTAAAGGAGCTAGGCTAGCTAATTCAGTGATTCTTTTTCTTTCATTCTCACTGTAAACACATAGGAATAAGGTTGAGTCTTGAATAACAATTAATTAATTTCTTCTTTCACTTTAAAGGTAGATAGGTAATAGAGGTTACGGTTCCGGCTCATGAATCTTGAGTTGAGTCTTCCCTGTTTACCTCAATAAATAAGGGAATGATATTCCAGAGTGTTTGAAGGTTCTGGGGAATGAGTTCAAGCTAGCCCAGCAAGCAAGAAAGAAGCCAGCCAGCCGCTTTCACTTTATCTAATGATCATACAACCTATTTCCTTCATGTTTGAAGGTAAGGGAAGGGAAGGGCATATCGGCGAAGGAGCTTGAGCTTCCGATCAGCCAGCCAGTAAAGGGGTGAAGCAGCTAGACTGAGAGTTTTCGGTAGGGAGAGAGAGGATAATTAATAAGGAGGGAGTAGTGATCTTTTACAATGAGTGAAGGGGAAGGAATAAGGAAATGAGTATTGATCTTTTACAGTGAGTGAAGAAATAGGGTCAGGAGTGAAAGAAGGTTCAGGTCCAGTAGTTCAGTCTCTTTTCTTATCTTTTCTCTCCAGTAAAGGTTTTGGTTCAGGTTCAGGTTACGGATTGAATGAATAAGCTGTTCAGGTCATAGAGGTTCTGGGGTAGGCAGGTTGCACTATCTCTTTTCTTTTAAACAAAGACAGTAAAGGGGCGAAGCAATGAGACCGACAGGCGAAGGGGTGAAGCCATGAAGACCGGTAGGGGAGAGGCTAATTAGGCTTTTGTTGAGTCTTTAACAGCTTACCTAGTTCAACCCTATAAAATAACCCGAAAAATAGACAGAGGATAACAGAAATGAATAAATGGTACTAAAGAGGGAAAGAAGGTTACGGGGCAGGTTCCAGTCAGGTCATACGGTTTAGTCGCTTCTCTTTCTTGACTTTCTCTTTTACCCCGACTGTAAATGAACAAGAACTGAAGGTCATATCGGGGAAGTAGTTCAGGAGAATGCGCTTCTCTTTCTTGACTTGACTTTGTTGAGTCTTTCAAGCGAGTTAAAGAATCAATAGGTAAAGGGGCGAGGCCACGAGACCGAGTTCAATCAGCTGAAGAGTTACGATCATTTGTATAGGGAAGCAGCTTTACCCACTGGTTCAGGATCATTAATCTTTTGTCTTTCATGCAGAAAAAGAAGAAGACGAACAACAAAGAACGGACTAAAGCTTAAAAAATAAATGAGATAGTTCCACCCCAGTCTTTGAATTAGTAGGTGAAGGAGGGAACGGGAACTCTCATTAATATTTCTCTTTCGTCTTGACTTCTGAATTACCGAGTGAAAGAGTGAAATATGTCTCATTCATCTTCTCTTGCTTTCTTTCGTCTTGACTTCTGAATTACCTTGTTCAATCAGGGAGAGTCAATTCAATCCTCAGCTGCTTTACCGGAGAGTAAGTTCAAGAATCATCCTCCCGTTTACCTCGTTCAATTAGAGTCCAATGCAGTGTTGGTTACTCTCAGAGCTTCTCTTTATCTCACTATAAACTCTGTTTCTTTCATTCTTTGATTCATTCATTCACTCTCATTAATGTTGAGTCTTGCTTGAGTCTTTCCTCATTACCCCAGTCAATCAAAGGGCTATTCTATTAATTCTATTTACCTCCTCGTAAAAAAAAAGGTGAATGAGCGGAACAACTCAACCATAAAGAATAGGTGAATGAGCTTGAGCTTCTCTTTCTTGACTTTTTCTTAGTGCTTGCTTTACTGAGTGAATAAATAGGTGGGTGGGAGTTGTTTACAGTCAAGTAAACGAGTGAAAGAAAGAATCATCCTCCATCCCTTCAGTCGAGTAAATGAATTAGTGGCTTTACCTCATGACTGAAAGAAGCGAGAGGAAAGAAAAAGTGTAGGTCATGGAATAGAGTCAAAGGTGAATGAGTTCAATCAAGTTCTGACAATGGAATGGAAGTTTACCTCGTGTAGGAATAGTGAAAGAGTGAAAGAGGGTGAAGGTTCATGAGTTTACAAAAGAGAGTCAATTCAAAAAGATAAAGGAGTGAAGGAGCTTGCCCTTCTTCTTTTCTTACTTTGCTTACTGTTCAATCTGTCTCATGAATCGAGAGTTGAGGATTGACTGACTGTTCACAATCACTGATGAGAATAGAGGTGAAGGAGAAGAGAAAGAATAGTTCCACCCTAGCTCGAGAAATGAAAGAAATAATAGGCAGAGGTGAATGAGTTTACAGTTCAATCTGTCTCATGAATAAGGAGTGGTTACAGGAGAGTCAAAGAGTGAAAGGTGAACAATCACCGACTGTTCAGTCTCATTCTTCTTGAGTCTTGACTGACTGTGAAGAATCATTTTGTCTTGCTTTCTTTTACTCTTGCTTGAAGATTTGAATGAATGGACTCTCCTATCCTATCAGCTAATTCATCTTTCATTTGATTCCCCCTGAACTGTAAAGTTTCATTAATCTTTCATTCTCTGATTCTGAATGAATAATAGGGAGAGGGAATAGAGGTTCGTTCAGTAGTTTTATCTCATTCTTCTTCTTCCGGTTCAGTAGCTGATCTTTCTTTCATTCTCTGATTATTCTTCTGATTCAGTAGTTCAATCTCTTTCCTCCCCCTTCTACAGTTACAGTCGATAAAAGAAAAAGATCAATACTCCTTATTTATTAATTAATTATCCTTCACCTATTTATTCTTTCACTGTAAACTCGGTTCATTCAGTAGCTCTTTGATTGAATTTGATTATGCTTGAAAGACTTTTCAAATGAAGGAAAGATCAGCTCATTCACCTTCCCCTGAACCAACAATTATGTTTCGATCGAACCTCCTTTCTCTAATAAGTCGGAGGTCTTCATAAACATGTTAAAGGGCTAATCTTATCCCCACAAGTGAGATGTGGGTACTCTACTCGTTTGAACTCTACATGTGAGGCCTTCTCTCTCTTTCTTATGACCTTCATCAGTCTTTTCTTCTTTATCAGGAAGACATTGCAGCAAGAATTGAAGAAGAAAAAGAATGCAGCTAAACCTCCCAATCCAAGAGCCATCTCTACGGCCTTTTTTCTTTTTTCATGAGGATCAAAGGAAAGGGATAATCCTTGATGCTTTCATCCATCCTCAAAATAGCACAAAAAAGAGTCCCCTTCTTGGTATCCATAGGAATCACCGAGAGAAGAAACCTAAAGGTCTTGAATTGCCACCAATCAACAATGTGAACTGTTGAGCCCTGTCCGTTAAAGGCAGAGAAACCAACATGCATTCAATCTTTAAATTTCTTGGAGAGGTAAATTAGGGAAGAAGAGGACTTGTAGGCCTAATCGGCGAGTACCCGATTCACACTCGGATCATTTTCATTGCATCTCTGTACTCAATCCAAACCGCTATCTATCTTCCACTGGTCAAATCAATCCCCCCTTCAACAACATTAACGGAAGCCAAAGATACTCGCTTATATACCTAGATGATTCCCATTGATGTCAACAAGCGAAGGGTCAAACTGGTATCAAATTCCACAGCGATGAATGAATCTTCCCCATCCCATCTAAGGACAGTTCTAGGAGACCTATATACTAGGAAAGAATCCACATTAGAGGTGATCAGAAAGGCAATCCCATCTACAGAAGGACATAGTTGGGAAGATAGTTTTGAGAAGGAGAAACGACATGAGAAAGATGCGGTGGAGTTCGTCTCGGAATCAAGAAACCGAATAGGGTAGACATAAAAAGCTCTGCCCACGCCTGAAACAGAGGAAGAAGAAGAAGAGAGAGACTGATTGAGTGAGACTAATGGCTTTCTTTCTGAAGTAAGCCTCACCAAAGAGGGTGACATTCTTTGCAGGCAAGAAAGGTGTACAAAGCGTGGGAATACTGAAGATGAAAAAGAAAAAGAAATGGTTCCGGAAGAGTCAAACAGCAGGAGAATGCATTATAGAGTCACAAATAGGAAAGATCACTAGGTAGAGACTACGAATTAGACAAAGAGAGCTCCTTCGGCTGAGAAATTTGTAGAAGATCAAGAGTCAAGAGATTTTATCGCCTCTTTGATTGGGTCAATCTTCTTTCTTTTGGAACTTTAACAACTTGTTTCCATATGGCCTCCTCGTTTTGAGACATTATCACTTTGGAGTGGTTTATCCGTGGACACCCCTAGGCTCTGCTGTCGCTTGCTTTCATGTACACGTCTTACCTTTTCCCTACAACCCATGACATACCCTGCTTTCTATGCCATGCTTCCTCCAATACTGGAACAGGGCCTTTCCTTTACTTTAAGCTTAGGCTGACCTACTTCCGTAGCTGTCCTTCCTTTCTTCATTGCCCCTGGACTCAGGCAAAAAACTAGATTTCCTAACCTTTCTTTTCCACCCCATTTAATGGAGAGCTGTAACTGAAGCAACCACTTGGCTTTAGAGCCCTATCACGTAAGGGAGAAGAAAGACTGAATGTGTGAAGCGGCCCCATCAGAAGGGAACTTCTCCCCCTGTCTATCATCTGCGATCAATGCACTCAATTTATCTTGATTTGGGCAGTCACGGGCGAGCTCTTTGAGGTCCTCCACAAATGAAACAACCGCAACCCTTCTTCTTTGTTAGGTTTACCAGGCTTGTTCCCAGCTCTTTGGTAGCATGTTCTTCCCCTTTCTTTTGCTCCCCACTCCCCCCGTCTTGTTGCCTCGAAGAGGTTTCCCCTTTGTTTGTGCGAATGAGTAGGTTTTTCCATGTCATCTACCATTCTTTCTGCAGCAATGATCGCTTCTGCCAAATCCGGTACATTTTGCCAACGAAGTTCTTGTCTAGCCCAAGGATGAAGACCGTTTGGGAATAAAGCCTTCCTTCCCCGATTTAAGGCTTTAAGGCTGCAAACACTGGACTCTCTTTTCCCTCTTCAGGCACTAGTCTCAGCCTCAACGGATCTTCGATAACTCAACCTTGACTTCTGAATTGTGGCTTAAGGAAGCAAGGAGGCTTGCAGAACGCAGTAAGATAATGCGACAGATAGCTAGACATACAACAGGAAAACTAAACTAAGAAGATGGATAGACGGTTGTGAGAAGAGGTCACTACTCTACGCTGCTATACAGACCACAAGAACAACAGCTACTGCGCTAGGCTCATTCCTAATCGATTTGTACCATACCAAAATGCAAGGAGGATGTATAGCTGATTGACTTAGAATACCAAAAGAAGGAGCTGAAAAGCTTTTAGTGGAAGGAGGAGCACCCGTAGTCCTCTTGATATATACGCATCGCATGGGGCTCCCTCAAAACTACCTACCTCCAAAAGAATACATGACGAAGTCAACTACCCCTCACTACATCATAGTTGCTACAACATTACATGGTAGTTGGTACTCCCAGAACGGTCCGGGCCTTTCTCTATTCACTTTGCTTATAGCGGACCGGTATTGAACAAGTGAAAAACAAGGAAAGTCTCTTAGCAATACAGTGCAACGCCTACTTGCTAACAGCTTTCGGGCCTACTGTCCTATGTATGCTTCCCTCTCCTTTATAGTCGAGCATATTCAATCCTCTCCTGCTCTTCAAGCTAAGCGCTCTCGGAATTAAGCACCTTTCCAATGCCTATTGCACCTGTAGCTGATGTGATAGTTGCAACTCCTTAATGCACTACCTTGACTTGGCACTTGACTTAACTAACCTGCCTTCGAGACAGAGTGATGGTGCCCCCCCTCATGAGCAGCCCTTACCTGCCTTGAACTACAGGAGCGACATACACACATATGTAAATCAGGTCTTTTCTCGAGAGTGATTCTAGGCCTAAGTCAAAGAATTTACTAAATACTAGAGTGTTGCTACAGGGAATGCTACTTTGACCCTGCTACTTCTAACGCTCGAACTGTCCTCACTCCTCTCCTCTTGCCAATCCTTATCAATTCTGCTTCTTTCTTTCTCCTTATCTGATTCTTTTTCTATTGATTCTCAATTCTTCTTCTTTCATTTTCGCCTTGACTTGAGATTTGGAAATGAAAATTCAGTAAATTCCTTGAGAGCTGCTCCTGGAATGATTGAACCCGGTAAAGCAAGCACTAAGAAAAAGTCAGTTCTTGAACGAGGTAAAGCTGTTTCTCTCCTGAACCTCGATAAAGCTGCTTCTTTCCTCTCCCAGGTCATCATAAGAAACCCCCATTTTTCTGAAGCACTATCTGTCCCTTTCTGCATCTATATTAGTTTAGGTCTAACGAGATCAACAAAATTCTTAACGAACTAGTTTCATCACATAATTGTTATCTAGTCCTATTTTCTTTTTCAAATCCAACCTTATTCTACTGTATCTACCTCAAAAAATCCTTGATCTCCAAGCCCCTTGTATAGGTGGTTGGGCAAGTTTGGATGCCCCTACTCCCAACAAGTTTATGGTCGGGATCATGGAACTCTCGCTCGAGAAGTAAGTAAGTTGGTCCTTGTTTGGTCATAAGGATAATGGTTCTTATTAGGTCAGGGGCAGCCGGCCCAGGGGTTACCCGCGATTGGTAATGGCATAACCAGAAGAGGGGTAGGGGAAAGAAGGTTATGCGCTGGTTAGCTCAGCGCATCTGTTTCGGGTATAGAGGCGACGAGGGGTGCTAACCCGGCCACCCAACCCAGTAGGTCAGGGGCGGGCCGGCCATAGATTTGAATCCTACCACCTTTCTTGTGGATCATCCTGTGGTTACCGGATGATGGGAATAAGAAAGCATAAATTAGGAAATGAACACGGAATGTCAATATATGAATTGTTTCATTATTCGTTATTTCCCGATCTTTTCATTGCATTCACTTACAACAAGAAAGAACCACCAGCGTTTGGTGCAGCACCTGCATTTTGGTATATTCTTCTTTCTTTCTTTGGTCTTTCGTTCCGTCATATTCCTAATAACTTATCCAATTACAACGTACTAACCGCGAATGCACCTTTCTTTTATCAAATCTCAGGGACATGGTCTAATCATGAGGGTAGTATTTTATCATGGTGTCGGATCCCAAGTTTTTATGGATTCCTTCTTTGTTACCGGGGTCGACCCCAAAGCCATAATGTCTCAAAACGTGGAGGCCATAGAGAAACTCTTTTTTATTCCTTTCTTTCGAACTTTGTGAAGAACCTCATTCGAGATCTCCCTCGTTATGAACATCAAAGTGGGGCTGCGCCCCTATTGTGCACTCCCTTCGTTCTACGAACCCTTGTTGATTCTGAACTTCGTTCGCGAAGGAACCGGACTTTTGACGGGCCAACCCTTTTTTATGCGTTGCTTTACCGTGAAAGGAAAATGAGCTTTGCTCTTCTGTGCTCCTGGCGCTCTCGTGGTTCGCGAGAAGGAAAAAGGACTCATCCTTTGTTGTATCTGGCACGAGATGATAAAGAGAGGGCTTCGTCTATCGATGAACAGTGGATTGACGAAACTCTTGCCATTGCTTTGTTTTTCTCTCTTTCCTATCAGCGAGTTCCGATCCTTTTGTTTGAAATTTCTTTGTTTGTACCGAACCGCTTGCAGAATCAAATCCTATTCCACAAGATCCTATATCATTTATACATCCTCATTGCATTTATGCTGGAGATGTCGCCAGTGCTATGGGTTTTGGCTTATGTAGATCCAAAATGATGAATGGGATTATGGCACTTCACTCGCCGCCAATGCGGAAGGATGCCCCCAAAAAGAATGGAATGCTGCTTCGTTCTGCTGGATGCGTTGGATCCCGTATAAGAAGCGAACTTTTTACCCTCAAATTCATAGATGTGGGCGCAAAATGTTATCCTGCTCTATTGTTGCGTAGCAATAGAAGCCTGCTCTTGCTGCTTCGGCGGCACTTTTTCACCTTCTCTTCCCTCTAGGCGGGAGGGCTAGTGGACACGAGGAGGGAGCTGGCGAAGCGTGTTGTTCGTAATGCAAAGAAAGAGACCACTACTTTGCTTCTTTGTTGGACCGCCGGTGCAAACACAGTGGTCTCTGACTAGGACTAGGAACCCATTCGAATTTGGATCTTGATATGTCGATGCTTTTTAACTGTAGGCATCTTGCTAGGAAGTTGGTGGGATCATCATGAATTAGGTCGAGGTGGCTGGTGGTTTCGGGATCCCGTTGAAAATGCTTCTTTTATGCCTCGAGTATTAACCAAAGCTCGTATTCATTTAGTCATTTTACCCATTCTTCATTCTTGGACCTCGTTTCTTCATATTGTGACTTTTCCACACTGTGTCTCAGGAACCTTTTCAATACGGTCCGGATTGCTAGCTCCCGTTCATAGTTTTGCTACAGATGATACACGAGAAATATTTTTATGGTGATTCTTCCTTCTAATGACCGACATATCAATGATTCTTTTCTCCCAGATGAAGCAGCAGGCATCGGTCCGTAGAACCTATAAAAAAGAGATGGTTGTGGCGCGAAGTACTCTTGTGCACCTACGACACTCGGCTCGCGTGCAACCCCGCCTTGTTATGTTATGGAAGAATTGAACTGATTGCAGGGATGGTTATTCAGAGCCAGCAATTGGCTGCCGGATTTCGTCCCGCAACTAGAAGAAGATCGCTTCGGGGGTCATAGTGGCGTGGCTGACTGTAGAGTAGTCCGTCCGCCCGCGTTTGATCAGTCGATTCTTTTTTTCTTCGGAAGATGGTCAAGGTAGTTTGCTTCCAAGCCACTGCACTAGATGCGCATATAGTCGTAGTAGTCGACTTAGAATGCCTCTGTTCTATACTAAAAGACTACTTCCTTCGGAGGGGTCTTTGCTCTGCAAAATCAGGCAAACGAGTTTACCATTGATTCTTTTGATGGTTTTCTTGGTTTCGAATAGTATATGAGTGGAGCGAGAGCGACTGGAGTTTACTTCAGGAATAGAGGTTTTTGATGTAGTTGCGCACGTTTTTGCTTTTTTCATCGAGATTGGGTCGGTATTCAGTGTCAGTACAAGATCGAAAAGAATTCATAGCATTCCGAGTGAGATGTCCAAGATAAAAGAAACGAAGGGAAGAATCGACGAGCTTTTTAAGCCCCAAACTCAGAATCCATGGAATAAATGTATCTAAATCCATGAAAAGATCTATTCTATCTGTATAGATAGGGAGGGGAAACCCAAAGAGCTTGACTTTAAGATAGCTCGGGCAAGCAACTCCTCTTTCTTTATTAATGATCTTTCCTTACTTGACTTATTCACCTTTGACTGATGTAACTCAGTCTCGTGGCTTCACCCCTCGTAAACAAGAAAAGCTATTTTACGGTCTCATTGCTTCGCCCCTTGACCATACTTATTCTGGCCTTTAGGTGAGCTTGCGTAATCGTAATAAGTAAGTAAGCACAACTCAACTCTTCTACGGGTGACTGGATCGCCCCAGTGGGGTTGCTCTGATTCGGCCCTGAGAAGCGCAACACTCCAGTAACTGATCCTTTTGTAGGTTCAGGGGCAAAGAAAGCGTACCTTCTTTGATAAGCTCCCTTGGCGTTTCACTTTTGATGTTCTGCCTTGATGAGTGGGAGAGGTAGCCGAATTAGGATCTAACTATTGGCACGGACACAGTGTAGGAAATTTCGATCCTCAAAATGGGAAAGAAAGATGGAGGAAAACATAGCCCTTTCAGTTGCTCTCTACACGGTGACTGTTCTTTTGGCTGTTACCACCTCATCATAAATTTACCGTAGAGGTTCATTTTCCTCACTCAGTAAACGATAAAAGTAGGAGGGCCCAGAATTTGACCCTGATTCCAAGCGAGCGAAATTGGAGAAAGAACAGCGTCATCTAATCTAATTGCTCCTGAACTCGTCCCTGAGCCTGAGGCCCTCCTGGTGATAGATGGGAAAAAAGAAAGAAGGTTTTCGTTTCATTCAACTAGTTATCTTTTTGAAATAGTTCACAGTGCTCATTCTATAGATACTAGAAAAACCAAAGAGAATGAAATTAAATCTTAGTCAATTGAAATTGAAGAACCACATCCCGACCCACCATAAATCCCGAACTTTTTGGCTTCGACCTGCCCGCATCGGATTCCGCGGATACTTTGTGCTTGAAGGCTGATAACATTATGGAGTCGTATTTGGATTCCCTTACTCGTGAGCGATACACATGGTTAGACGTAACATAAAGTCTTACTCGGTCAGCTCCGAGGATATAGTCACTCTAGATGAAATCAGTATGCTGCTCGACCAGTTGCATAATTCAGGCAGTGAAAACGGTATTCAAGCCTTGGAGCTCTTAATGTCATAAGTGGCAGGATAGGAGAGGGGTGGGTCATATTGCTTCGAGAAAGAGAAAAATAGGAAAGATGCCAAGTCAAGCCATGTACTATTATCGACCATACAATGATGCCATTGTGGATCTCATTCGTATTCCAATTTTTTGGACTTAGATGTGGCCTTTCATTCCTTAGGGAGTGAGAGGGATAAGAGGAAAGGGTTGGTTGCCCCTTACGCGCTTTTTTAGGAGGAGTTCAGTGTAGTCGGATGGAAGGGAAGCGCATATCGAAAAGGAATCGAGCATCTATGGAAAGACTAAACCTTCTGCCTTGTCTAGTAAGTTGCCATTTTCATATATTGAATGAAGAAGAAAATCAAATCGACAAATTGATGAATAGGGAATCACTTGGGGTCTGAATAAGATCAATAGGAAAGACAATGGATAGGGCTTCTCAAACAAAGGCAGTCTTGCAGAAAAAAGAGCTTTTGTCTTCTTCAGTTAGTACAAATTCGGTCGATATCAACAATCCAGTTTCGTAGGAAGGAGGCCTAGAAAAGGTCAGCGGAGCAATAAAAAAATTTCTACTTTTGACGCTATGCTGTGCCGACCAGGAATGCTACTCACGAGCTGGTCAGGGACAGGTTCCAGTCACTCTTTCGATGCCATGCCATTATGGTGGCACGGGAACCTTTGAATGGGGGCAGTTTGTATCTCATCGCTAGCATGTGGAATGCAAGTGCATCCAAGCACAACGCAGCCAAGAGGGTCCAAGATTGCTTCGTCGAATGGGTTTTAGAGAGTAGTAGAATGTTGGGTTAGCTCTGCCTTGTTTTGATAGGGGGGTGAGAGGAAATGATGAAGAAATGCCTTAGTTGGTTGAGGGGTGACCGATCCGGTTAGTAAAAAAAGAGGATATCAAAAAAAGGTGTATCTGGTCTGGTGTAGCTAAGGTGACTTTCTTGATCTATAGTTCCTCTTCTTTCTATCTCTTACCAATGCTCCGGCTTCCCTCACTCAAAAGATCCTCCATTGTGGGTGTATCGAAGAGGTAGGCCATAGATTGAATATAGAAGGAAGGGCTCGTATTTGACATTTTTCGAGCAACCCCCAACCTTTGAGAAGGCCACTCCTCTCTCTTTCGGCTTGTTGTGACCTGACCACTTTCATGCTTCGAATGAGAAGTTGCGCTTTCGATCTTGTTCTCAGCTCTGGGTCTAGTCCTTTAGGCGAGGCTCTTGACTTTACACGGTGGTTCCGAGTTCAGGAATTCGTGGTTGGTTGACTTTTCTTTGTTTGGTTACAGTTCATGCCCACTCATAATGAACCCCTGCCCGCGCCGATGTGGAGTCGCAACTCTTCCTGTAGAAACCTCCTTCAACAGATTCAAGTGATTCAGTCAGTAGGAAAGTCAGATGCCTCTCTTGCAGGCCGAAACATTGATTGATTTTGTCTCGATGCAGTTCTCCCCAAAAGAGTGAGCGCTCACTCTTATTATGGGGCACACCCCCTTTTTTCTTATTAGTCAGATAGGTTGCGAAATCTCACCTTTTGGAAATCTCTCATAAGGAGAAGTGGGAGTATAGGGTTTTTTTAAAGATCTCTCCCTTCTCCATTATTCTAATCATTGAATTAGGTAGGACCGGTGAATTTCCCCCCGATTGTTGATGTAGTTAGATCTTTTATCTTTGCCAGAATTCGTTGATGAGTAGCGTTCTTTCTTACTTCCGTCTGTGATTTCATGGAGAGAAGGAAAAAGAGCAATGGATGGCATTGGATTCAATCCACCTGGCCATTTATGGGCATTCAATTCTGGGCAAAGATGTCAAAAATAAAATAAATAAGGGCGAAACTTGGCAGCCCGCTCAGAGTTTGAAGGCAGAACCGTTGTTGCTTGATGAAGCAAGTTGGTTTTTAGTCTTCGCTGGCGTTCGGCACAGGGGAGAACATCTAAGTTGTGGAATTCACACGAAAGGGAACGAGGAATGATCAACGAAAAAAGTGCTCTCTGAACGTGAAAGTTGTTTTCCTGCTGGGAAAGTCTTCCTCTGGAGCAGCCGCGACATGAAGTTCCTTACCCTTCCACTTTCTCTTTCTTTCCCTGTTTCCACAAGCGGACACTTTTCTGCTATCCTTAATAGAACCGATCTTATTCTCTGAACAATCGAAGCGACAAAAGGAGAGGCCCATAATAGAATCTGAAACTTCCAGCGGAGAAAGTTTTTGTCGCCGTTAAAGTCGATAGAGAAGTCTCTAAAGCCGCTATGGTCTAGGCTCTCACTCAGCAAGTAAGCAGCAAGATTCTCTCTTGGCAAAAGCGAAAGACCTCCTCACTCAGTTCATATCTTTAAGCGAAGAAGAAAGATTGGGGGAAAAAGATTAACAGAATTCGGGTTCCATTTTGACTAATCCAATCAAAAATTGCATAAATGAGAGTGAAAAAGTCTTTGTCGCATCAATGAGAGAGAAATTCCCCAATAACCGCGTTTTCCGTTAAAAGTCAACCGGTGTGAAGAAAAAGAAAAAGATTACCGGAGCTTGGAGTTGCTCTTAGCTGGTCGGGTTGCCGGCCCCACCAAGAAGATCCGCCCAAACGTAGAGTCCCCGCTCCTTATCACAAAGGGAATTTGGACAAGAATTTGAGAGAAGAAAGAGCTCTTGCCTTCAAATATTCGGAAAAAGATAGAGGTCAGGCGGGGCACCGAAATGGGGGCGTAAATTCGATTCTCCCATGAAAGTGGAACATCCGGAATTGCCAAATCTCTCTTGATCGACCCCTTTCCTTTCAAGAAGATTCATCCAAGACTAACGATCTTGTCGAACCGGCTTCTATTTCAATCTGCTCCAATAAATTCTAAAATCCATTTCGCCAAATAATGAAAAATGACTTTTCCATTTACTGAGTTTTTGACTAGGGAATGGCCCCTTGGTCCTTCAAGAACTGTCCTAGCCATTTTTTTTTTTGAAATTAGGGTATTGGTCCATATTTCGAGAAAAAGTCTCTCTTGTTTTTCATTCCGGCCGTAGATCGAGTTCTGGGGAGGAATTCTAGCTCAGCATTTTTGTTCACTAGAGAAGGCTCTGACATTCTGGCTTCGCTTCTTCTTGGGCCCAGACGCTAACCTCTGTAGGCGAGGTTTGAAATTCGTGAAAATCCAATGACGACTACTTTTGCACCTCCTTCTCCTCAAAGGAGACCAATTTCTTTCTTGTGAGACTTTGTAATCCAGGACCTCCTCCCAAATATCTTATCCGCAGCGATTCCTCTCGGTCCCCCCGTACAGCCCCGAGGAAGTGAGGAATATCTCAGTATAATTGTTTGCTAATTCTGGTCTTGTTCCAGTTGCTTCGCCCCAACAAAGTAAATCCACGCGAAATTGGAATCCTTTTTATTTTGCTTATCTTGAATCATTGATGAGAAGGAAGGCTGGAATACCAACACAAGAAATGCCTATGCCTTTTTCGATTTCGCTCCTCAGCAGGAGAAAATTCGTACCAGTGTCATATAATTACTGCCATGGCCGGAATGAAAACTGACTCGAAGTAGGGAAAGGTGCGAAGCTGCGAGACTGGAAAGTAAAGGCAAAGGCAAAGGAACGAATAGAATATGCGAGAACGAGTGAAAGAAGAATTGAATATGCATTACCTTGTGAAAGAAGAATTGAATATGCATTACCTTGTGAAAGAAGAATTGAATATGCTTTACCTTGTGAAAGAAGATGATTGAGCTTTTCTTTCTCTTCGTTTACAGGATTGAATATGAATTGACTCGACTGTTTTTGTTCAGGTTCAGGAAGAAGACGAGTTGGAGAGGTTCAGGATTTCATTCATTTAGCTTTACCTCGGAAATCAGGAAAAGGTTTGAGGTTGAGTCTTGAAAAACAGCTCATTGATTCTTTCACTGTAAAAGAGAATGAATCTTGAGTCTTAACTTCCTATTTCGGATTGAATGAATAAGGTAAATAGGGTCAAGTCATAGAGGTTCAGGTTCAGGGTTTCAGTTCAGTCTTTGTTTACAGTTCCAGAAGGTGAAGGAGAGAAGCCGAGGTTCAGTCTCATTCATGTTGAATTAAATTCTTCAATCAATTAATTCTCTTTTCTTTTCTTTACTCTCCCTTCACAGTAAAGGATATGTGTAGGAGTTCCGGATCATTAATAGGAGTAGAGACTGTAAAGAAAGGAGAGGGGCGGCGAAGCAGCTTGACTCGAAGAGGAATTCTCATCATTTTCTTAGGTATGAGAATAGGAATCTATTTGATGAAAGATTCTAGCTTTTGTGCTTGACTCAAGTCTTGATTGAGCAGTCATTTTTCGTAGTTACCCAAAAAAAAGCATCGAGACTGAGAAGGAGCCGGCTTCCTTGAAAAATTCAGACTTTCTCAGCCTTTCTTTTTTGCATATTCTATCTACCCATTCACTTAAGTGAGATAGAGGAGAGTGGAATTTCGTGAAGCTCGCGGCAGACTTTTCACAAGCTCCTTGAAGTGGCCGCCTTTGCTCCGAAGACTGGGACCGAGAGGGAGCTGAAAAGCTTTTTGAAGCCTCTTGAGTTTCGGCCGAGACTAAAGGAGGTTTCCTTTGTCCTAGAAAAATGAATAAAGGGGAAACTGATTCGAGCAAGTCGGTCTCACTGCTTCGCTCCTCTCCCGCTTGCCTTGACTCACGAAAAAAAGGGTGATAATCAATCAATCTGCAAGGAAAGGAATGACGTCGTAGTAGAAGACATTTTGTTGAGCAAGAGACTTGTTGACCAATTCAAAGGAAGATTGGGCTAGCTGATGTTGGTAAAAAAGAATCACGATAGATTGAAGAATTCCCCTTTCCCAAAAAGATGGACGAGCTTTCTCGCAATGGCTTTCTCCCCGTTGGACGTCGTAACTTGGCTGCAATCGTTGGAATTGGTTGGTCGCTTGCTTTCATCTGATTTTTGCTCTCTTTGACGAATTTCCTTTTTGTCAGATATATTCTTTTTGAATGATTGAGACAGGAGAATCTTTCAAAAAGAGAAAGAAGATCAATCCAAAAATTACTTCTGTCGTCCGGAATTCGAAGTGAAATTTGTTATTTTCCTGTTCCTAGTCGTCATGGGAAAGAAAGGAAGAAAGAAGAACATCCACCGGCGATACGGACTCACACACCAGAATCAATGAGGTTTTACGAAAAACGCTAATTGTGCTGGGAATAGACTGAAACAGAAATCCCCGAAGACTAGGAAGTGGACCCCAGACCCGGACTTTCCAGCAATTAAATAAAAAATCTCTCATTTAAAATGAGAATCATAGAAGGTCTGCCCGAAAGAAGCTCAATTTGGAGATAGGGGGACCCGAAGATGGCAGCGGGACCACGAACGAGGTAACTGATGCTTTACGGTCCAATATTTGTTGATCAATCCTATGGCCAGATTTCATTCCCAAAACGTCACTAAGTTCTTAGATAATCGACATTATTTCAATTCAAAAGATTTTCTTGGCCTTCTGTGAAGACCCGTCGAGAAAGCGGCAGACTCAATGTGGAATGAGTCCAAAATCCTGCTGGAATTTCTGAAGAATGCTCATTTGGGTCTCGATCACGTGGTTGGGTATCGATCAAGCAAGCCGTCAAGAAAGGCGAAAAAATTCCATTTTAGCGCGGACAAAAAGCATTTTCTTATTCTGGATCTAGTGGCCGGTGAGTCACTAAAGAGAACATTTGGGAGAGATTCTTCATCGATCTAGTGGCCAATCACTGATCAAATTCCATTTTGATACACTCACAGTCTCCTCAAGTTACAGTGCTCAGGAAGAAAGGAATTGAGGAAAGAATTTCTAGGAGGGATAGAGTTTGTAAGTTCTTCATTCTTTCTCATAGACTCGTAGAGAGTTCAGAATTCCAGCCTTGTTATTCTCTTCTCGCTTGGAAATTCTTGTCATAGCTTATTAGGGAAGAGGATTTTGTCCTAGGAACTACGCATTCTATGAAAGAAAGGAGTTTCAGTATTTGCCCTCCCTTCGTTTACGACTCCGATGCCTTTGGGGACAGGGAGAGTCGAAAGTTCGAAAGCACTTTTCGCTTCGCTCGCGACTCACTGCTCTGATTTTGACTGAACATACTGCCTGGAAAATGACCGGTCAAAGGAATTGGGTCACATTTGATTCATTCACATGGGGAAAAATCTGCCACTCGTTTGGCGACGCCAGATTTACTCGCTAAGTCGAATTGCTTGACGAGACCCGGGAGCAAACCATTTTGCTTTTGATTTGGGGGGAAACCTAGCTACTGATGGTCGGGGCGGGCAAAAACATTGACCCGCGAACCTGCCCAAAAAGGGGGGCGAAGACCTACTACTTACAAATGAAAGACTACTTTCCAAGCCGAATCAGACTGAATATACGCTGAATACGACAGATTCGGAAGTGACTAAATCAGTCAGAACGTAGATGTGATGAAAAGCTATCTTGTGAATAGAGGAAAAGAAAAGAACCACAAAACTCGAGGGAAGGAAGTGAAGCAAGGATTGTGACCACTCTCACTCAGGTACTTAGGGAACAGGGAACACCAAATCCAATCTCGACGAAAAAAAGGGATTCCCACAGGAGTAAATCGTGATGAATACAAATTACGGGGGAATAACGAGTGAAAGAGCATGAGAGATGAAGGAAGGACAGAAGCCTAGGGGAATGAGAGAAAGAAGCCCAGTTGAGTATTGATTAATCTTTTACAGTTCAAGAAAGAAAGAAGAAGGGACAAACAAGTTAGTGAGTGAAGGAGAAGAAAATAGAAGAAGAGAAGAGACCGAGTTTACCTCCAGAAATCAGGGAAGGGAATAGAGGAAAATAAAAGGAGAAAGACCTAATGATCATCCAGCTGCTTTACCGAGTTCAACCCGTGTGAAAGAATAACTAGAACTTCCTGAGAATAACTCACAATAACAAGAATTAAGGAGAAAGATCAGTGCAAGAATAAATAGGTATAGGTTCAGGTTCAGGATTGAATGAATAAGGAGTCGTTCCTTCCTATTCTTGATCATTAATAAGTATGTTCAAGAATAAATGGGTTCCGGTTCCGGAGCTTGGCCTGATTCTCATCCTGCTGAATTACCTAAGGTTGACGAAACTTTACAGTTATATGGAGCATCAAAAGAATGAA